ATCCAAAGGAACAGGATCTTCTATTCTCTCCATAGCTTAAAACCTTCAACAAAATTACTATTGACCCCTTGCTCTAGTCACTTCTAAATCTAAATCTAAAGCTATTTTCACACAAGTCATTTTTCATTCTCACACAGCGACTGCTATAATCAAAACTATTTTAGTACCAACCTGGAGGGAAGGGAGATTGTTATCATTATTTCTATTTTTAGATGCACCGAATGTGCTTATTACAGCTTGTGGGGAATTATAAATACCTAGATATAAAATAGATTTAATAGATACCATCCATATGCATCACACAGCAATCATCCAGTTGAAAAATGGAAAGCCGTGAAGCCTTGCATGATTGAAAGAATAATTCTGCCTAGTGATTGTTCATCCCTTGATGTCAGACTCCTCAGATATCCTGTCTCATTCTCAAGGGGACTTCAGATTCCTCTCCGGTTTTCTGATTATTCTCTCGAAGTCTTCTCCAATCTGATGCCTGCCAGATGTTTTGGACTACTGGGCCATCATCCTTGACCATTAGCCATGAGGGCTAAGGCTTATTCAGGAGGCAGCAGGTTGAAGAACGTTACTTTATAGCTTTGTGTTCACCCATAGAACTATAAAATATACAGTCATACTTCTCAAAATATCTTCGGTGCTGCTATATTAAATTAGTTTTACAGTACTGTTAGTTTTACATTGGCTTAAAATAGGTTTTTAACTAGTTTAAGACTATTCTACAATATTCATAGAGAATTCTATTACTGTCAGTCTCATATGCTGAGTTGCAGTGATTTTTTATTAGCCATAATGTGTGGTTTTGACTTTAGCTTTCATAATGCATGGGGGGGGGGTTGTGTGTATTGGACGTCACCTTGGGAGGGCATGGCCCTAAAAGGTGGCTTGCAAATTATCTTAAAGGAATTGAAGTACAATGATGGACATCCACAACATTTTTTCAATACTGAGTAGTGTCATCGTCATGTAGTCATCAAAGAAAACTATAAAGCTAATCTTTTCAGCACCAGCCTTTGGTAGAGGATGACACAACTATTATTATTATTATTATTATTATTATGATTAGTGTACCTCCCTATACCTGCACGTCTCAGGGCAGTTCACACAATAAAATCGTAATATAAAAACACAAATTGCACAATCAAAATAAAAAACAACCCAATAACTGCTCCTCCCCCAAACACATTTTAAACGTGCACCAGATGTCAAATTAGCCAAAGGGCTGATTAAAGATAAATGTTTTTGTCTGGTGAAAAGTGATGAATATGTAATGAAGGTACCAGGCAAGCCTCTCTGGTGAGAGCATTCCACAAAGTGGAGCCACTGTAGAAAAGGCCCATTTTTGTGTTGCCACCCTCTGGGCCAGGGGTCGGCAAGATTTTCCTTGCCTGGGTCAGTTCACTCCCAGGAATATCACTCCATGGGCCGGATCACTTCTGCGCAGATGCGATTTCCGGTGCCGTGGAAGCAAGACCCCACTCCGCGCTGCACCGGTTTAGCACAGCGCACGGGGACTCGCTGAGCAGGCAGCTCAGTTCGGGGGCAGCTCCTGGGCTGTTTAAACAACCCCCGTGGGCTGCTTATGGTCCATGGGCCTCAGGTTGCCAACCCCTGCTCTGGACTTCTCATGGAAGAGGCACACAAAGAAGGGCCTTAGAAGATAATCTCAGGGTCCAGATAGGTTCATATGGAGATAGGCGCTTCTTGAGGTATTGTGGTCCTGAGCTGCCTGAGGCACTAGAAAAACAGCTAAATATGATGGCTTTTAAAAAAATTGGTTAATTTATAGCAGTAAGCTCATTTACACATCAGCAGCATTGCTTCAAAAGAGTAAATAACACAGAGTTTCCATTGCTACAGGAAAAGGTTCCTTCTATTTACAAGGATGACTTTGGACTCTAAGCTTACATGGTTGGGAGCTAGATTCCTATGGCTGCTTCATGCAAAAGAGAGGTGGTGGCAAGGAGCCACTTGGGAGTTTAGTGGGCAACCACAAGCCCCCTGCCTACTGGAGGCATACAAGGTTGTTCATACCCAACAGAATAAGGATTGCAGGCTTTTTTCATCAGCAAGCCGAGTGCGTAGATTCTCAAATGCATATCACCATCTCAGTATGATGTTTGAGATGTTCCACCTCAAAGCTTCTGAAGGTGTTTGGTTTTGATGGCAGAAGTATTTTGACAGAGACAATAAGGTCAGCAGAAATGCTGAAAGGTTTGGAAAAGGAAACGAGTCCCTGTCGCATACAGTTTACTCATTTAATAGGATCTTTTCATGTTCAGGAGGACGGCCAATATGCTTCTGAAAGACAGCCTCACCTCCGTAACCCATCCCTGCCCCCCAAGTCCCAGCCTATTATTAATGAAAGCATGAGCCGCTGTAGCAAGTTTATCATACAGGCAACAGCAGCTGCCTCATAGATTTAAGAGGTTGTTGGGCTCTATTCTAAAGGCAGTGAACAGTAAATTGGATATGGAAATATCAGCATACAGACGAAGGGGGAAGTTGTTCAGCTACCATCAAAACATTTATACACTGTATAAAAATGTAGCTAAGTAATAATATAAAATAGAGCTACTGCTAAGCTGAATTAAGGACTGATTTATGTTTGCACTTTCACACCCATATTTTTTATTGTACCTTTTTTATTGAGAGTATTTTAATTGAACAAAATAAAGTAAAAATAAAAAGTGTATTAAGAGAAAAAAGGTAAATTATATCACTTTGTATGCAAACAATTACAGTTCCATGTATGCTTGTGTGGTATATAGGCATATAAGTGTTATTATTAACAAAATACATATATCCAGTGCTTTTTTTCTGGGGGGATGGAGGGGTACACATACCCCTAAACATTTTGTGAATCTAAGTTTGGCCTTATTGAGGGGCAGTATTTCAATATGAGTAGGAAAATGAGAATACCCCTAAACTTTTTTTTTTAAAAAAGCACTGCATATATCATTTATAACCTACTATATGTTTTAATAAACACTACCATCTTTTTACAAACATTCCAGATATAATTGTACTTGTCCACGCATGGTGTACGTCTGTAAGCAATCCATAAGTTGCAAGTGTTGTCATATCTTCAACCCATTGACTAAAAAGGGAGCATAGATTTATCTTTCCATTGCATCACTATCAGTTTTTTAGCCATAGTGAGGGCACAAGGAATCCATATACATTGTCCAGTAGTTAAATTCCATATATTAAAAAAAAAGTAGTATAAACACCGCCAACTGGGAAACACTGGCCTGTGAGCGCTCCAACTGGAGAATAGCCTTTACCAAAGGCGTCATGGACTTTGAAGACGCTCAAACTCAGGACGAAAGGGAGAAATGTGCTAAGAGGAAGGCATGTTTGGCAAACCCTCACCATGATCAACTCCCACCCAGAAACCTATGTCCCCACTGTGGAAGGACGAGTGGATCCAGAATTGGCCTCCACAGTCACTTACGGACTCACTGTTAAGACCATGTTCATGGAAAACAGCCTTACTCGGCTATGAGTGATCACCAAAGAAGAAGATTGGGTACATAATTCAGAAGACTGTTTAACTCTGAAATTTTTAACTTGTTCTGCACAGTCATAGTTATACAATCCAATACTTTCTCCCCAAACTTAGTAAGTGTAGGACATTGTAAAAAAACATGTGTTTCAAAGAAGCATTATCCTTATTACATTTCCAACAGCATGCTGTCTTAGACAATTTTTTTCTATATGTTCCCCATTCAGACAGCAGTTATACTTCTATAGTCCCTCCCCAACACCCTTTCAGAGAAAGAGCAAAGTAGTTGCCGAAAGCATTGCCTTCCCTCTGAACTGAATTTGCTCTGAACTGATTAGCAGTTGTGACATCATCACAATGACTAGGTGTCCCTTGATTGGCTGGGTTAAATCTAGGAAGATGGAGAAGCACTGAAATTGTACTTGAAGCAGCAGCAACCTGAAGGACACAAGGATACCTGTGAACAGCTAAAGAAATTAAAATCCAAGGAGTTTTCCAGGAACTGTTTTGACTCCCTTAAAAATACAGTTTTCATTGCCAAAACGTTTGTGGGTAAACGTTAGTACAACAGTAAATAGAATGCACATATTTATTTAAGCAGAAACGATTTCTTGCTAACAACTGAACACCCTAATAATTATAGCTTTTGTGTTAAATAGTATTATAGGAGACTACTGCGCTTATCTCTGTCTGGAGGAATTAATTGCAGTAATAAAATATTTTCTTTGTCCTCCTCACACTGACAGTTCATTTTGTTCTTTCTTCTCTCATTATCGTGTTTCCAGTACATGTCGCCTTCTGCAGCAGTTGTGTTGTGCACATGCTATAAATAAAGGCTTTGCAAATGTGGGGTGGCTGTTCATGCTGTGTGTAAACCCACCCTGGATACCAGTGTAGGAAGACAACGATTGATCCGAGTTACATCATATGCACTCACCACACAATGCAGGCAGGGTACTGTTGCCAGAGACACCGGTTCAGAACTCATCATATTGCACCTTCAGTCATAGGACCCTAGGAAGATACTTTATACTGAGTCTGACCATTGCTTCATCTAGATCAGTACTGACAGGGCTTTCTTCCCCATCTGGAGCTCACCAGAGCTCAGTTCCAGCACTTCTCAGGTGGGCACCATTGCTATTCTAAGAGAACAAGGAAGAAATTCATAGCGAGGTCCAGCACCTCTTTTTCAAGAAAAGTAGTACAGTGGTACCTCAGGTTAAGTACTTAATTCGTTCCGGAGGTCCGTTCTTAATCTGAAACTGTTCTTAACCTGAAGCACCACTTTAGCTAATGGGGCCTCCTGCTGCCGCCGCGCCGCCAGAGCATGATTTCTGTTCTCATCCTGAAGCAAAGTTCTTAACCTGAAGCACTATTTCTGGGTTAGCAGAGTCTGTAAGCGTATGTAACCTGAGGTACCACTGTACTGAGTATTGTCTACAGTGGTTCTCCAGGTTTCAGGCAAAGACATTCCTCACTGTACTGTAGCTCCCAGGGATTGAACCTGGACTTCTGCATTCCAAGCAGATGTTCTCCCACTGAGCTACAGCCCTTGTGTACACACCAGCTGTCTTCAACAAGCTATTGCACATTTATAGTGTAAATAACTTACTTTCCCTGATTTACACAGTCGGGTAGATTAACTGTCTCAATACATTTAAATTATAATGTTATGACTATCTCATTAGCAGTAATGACAACTTGCCTAAATAAACTAATTTGTAAAAATCACCTAGCCTTTGAAGCACAACCCTCCCTCCATGATGAACTGGGCAGCATTTATCTGACTGGTATATGCTACAGTAAAATTTTAGGATAACCATGCTTACTTATAACGGAATGATTTTTCAAAAGCGTGGTTTTCTGAATATCCCATTATTTTTACAGTAGTTTAAACCAAGCACAGAAAACTGGCGACTTTCTGGTAAAACAAAAACAAAAAACCACCACCACCAACACGCTCCCTCCTGCCTTCCTACAGGCTGACTGGCCTGGCATATGAGACTTTTCTGCCCACGATGGCCCAGATTTTGCCTTCCTGCATTTCATTGGATGCTGGCCTGCACTACTGCCAACCACAAAGATGGGTGTGGTGTTTCCCCAGACTGTGCTGTGAGCCAGCTGGTTTCTGAGGATGTTTCCTGTTTCAAATTATAAAAGAGAGACATTCTAACAGGCCAGTTTTCATTCAAAAGCAATTTCTACGGCTGAGAGTGAAGTGTGGAATTGGAAGCCCTGAAAAATACTCAGGATTGCATATGAGAACTGTGTAGGCATTGTCCTTTACATATTCATGTGAGGGAGAGGAAAGGTCACACCCACTGGCCCTGCCCCCACTGTTAATTCGCTGTTGGCCTGGTCTAATGCGAAAAGGATCTAGGAGTCTTGGTTGACCACAAACTTGACATGAGCCAACAGTGTGACGCGGGAGCTAAAAAAGCCAATGCAATTCTGGGCCGCATCAATAGGAGTATAGCATCTAGATCAAGGGAAGTAATAGTGCCACTGTATTCTGCTCTGGTCAGACCTCACCTGGAGTACTGTGTCCAGTTCTGGGCACCACAGTTCAAGAAGGACACTGACAAACTGGAACGTGTCCAGAGGAGGGCAACCAAAATGGTCAAAGGCCTGGAAATGATGCCTTATGAGGAACAGCTAAGGGAGCTGGGCATGTTTAGCCTGGAGAAGAGGAGGTTAAGGGGTGATATGATAGCCATGTTCAAATATATAAAAGGATGTCACATAGAGGAGGGAGAAAGGTTGTTTTCTGCTGCTCCAGAGAAGTGGACACGGAGCAATGGATCCAAACTACAAGAAAGAAGATTCCACCTAAACATTAGGAAGAACTTCCTGACAGTAAGAGCTGTTCGACAGTGGAATTTTCTGCCAAGGAGTGTGGTGGAGTCTCCTTCTTTGGAGGTCTTTAAGCAGAGGCTTGACAACCATATGTCAGGAGTGCTCTGATGGTGTTTCCTGCTTGGCAGGGGGTTGGACTCGATGGCCCTTGTGGTCTCTTCCAACTCTATGATTCTATAATACAAAAAGTCTGATTTGTTTGTTTCACAAGAACTCTGAATCAGCTTTAATAATGCAACCTGAATTTGCTGGGATATGACTGAATCTCACCTGAAAACTGTGATATTCTGGAAGCAGCCTTAGCTAAATAGTTCACAGCAATCCGTGGGAGTGTCAATCAGAGTACAGGACTAACATTAAATAATTTGTGCACATGTGCCTGAAAAGAGCTGGCTTTGCCTTTCATGTAATTTTGCAGCAATCTACAAGTGCTTTAACAAGAGCAAGCTTAAAGGCAACTAAAAAGCAGCTTTGGATGTGTGATCTGCCAAACGCTGACTGTGCATGCATAGAATCCCATTTCACATATCAAACCAGAGAAAGAGCTCTTTGGGAAATGGTGCTTGACTCCTAATATAGTAAATTATTAAAAGCTGGACAAATTGCGTACCAAACCAGGAGTTAATAGTAATTACAAACGTCAACAATGTCACCATGCATAAATGCTGCGTATTGCCCATTATCATCCTGTGTTGGCCCACCGTCAGCACCAGAACCCTCGGACAACTAGCTCCCAGAGCCACCTGCCTGTAAACTGCCTGTTACCAGTATCTGCTCACAGATTGCCAGTGTTGCAGATATGCTTTCAAAGCTGTGAGCACAAACCTCTAGTTTGTTGGCCAAACTAGGCCCTGCATGGGTCTAAATCTCCCCCAAATGACATCCACCTGCCTCACACTGGATGTCAGGAACAATAGGGAATTTACAATGTTCCTGATGGTTCATTGCAGTGGTGGCTGGCACCCATTGGGATTGGTAGGTGTCAGGGAGCCAGCCAGCCAGCAATAAATTACATGGAGTACATGAACGTAACTCTTTGTTAGAAGAAATTAGTCCTGCTCAGAGGAGACAGGCTTACTGAGCACAGTAGGTCTTGCCCCTGTGAGGCAGTTGTGGAGGCTGAAGATCCCTGCTCCCCACAGCTGCCTAAATCTGGCATTCTGCTGAACTCACAAACATGAGGAAGGAGGGATAATATCTAATAAACACATCCTCTCCTAGCATCTAGTCACATGGCAACATTCATTTGGGTCACCTGTCATGGCAGTGGCATTGGGTGACTTGTTATGTATTCAGTCGTCTGTGTTTTCCTGAGCTTAAGTCTGGACTAAGGATTCTGAGCCCCTGTGATTTGATACATGATATCCAATCACAGAACATATCAGGATTTGGGCCTCAGCCATTGGCCCTTAAACTCTGAGTCATGATTCGCAGCTTGGAAGTTTAGACAGCCAATCACTTTGGGAGTCGGAGTGGCCCAGGCCTTCAGAAATGTACATAAGCAGTTGCTTTGCCCCTGTTGCCCAGTTCTGTTAGTTCAATCAAGGTTCTTGCTGTTATCACTGTGTCTTGCCTCGTGGGAACCCACCTACACTTCATGACTGATAGGTGAGAAGCCCCACCCACCTGTCAAAATGGCCCACATGAGTGGAGGAATTCCCTCCACCCACCTCTGCTTCCAGAAATGGGATCTATGTAAGAGGATGATGGTGCAATGCATTTGCTGGTAGACGGTGCTCTTTGTTGGTTTCCAATACAGAAGTAATGCAGGCAAGCTTCGTTCTGCAGCCAGCTTCAATTTTCTGTTAATCAAGGAGATTCATGGGAAGCTCTGCCATCCAAATGGAATCCAAGTTTCATGTCATTTCAATCTGGAAGCAATCCATGGAAAGAATAGTCTGTCTGCTGAAACCTCTGCTTCAGACAGGTCAAGAGGAATTACATCACATTAACACCTTCAAGCGGAGACAGATCGGAAATGCCTTTTCTGCCTCAGAATCAGCTGCAATGAGATTCAAAGTTAAAAAAGCACTGACAGCATTTCACCCACTGTCAGTGGGAGAAGCCAGTGGCCAACACACCAGATGGGTAAGGCTTAAATGCTGCTCAGTTTCTCTGCAAACATCAGTACCTTGTGCTTAGGTACTCTGTCTAGCTTTATTCTTCCATACTGAACTACCAGGCCTCACAAGGAGCAAAGTGGGTGTGAGCTCCTTTTTAAATGCCAGAATGTTTGCCTGGTCCTGGTAAGGCACACTTTAGCTTACCATGATGTGCAAACCAGGACTGTATGTTGGATTAAAGTCTAAGGTAAGGGTTTTGGGGGGGGAATATTTATCTACTAATATCAACATTTAATTATTTACTTCTAACCCCAAATTTGAAACTGGAGAGTATTCAACGAAGCTCTCCCTCCCCAGCCCCGCTCTCCATATAATTTAATTATTATTTTCTGAAGATAAATAATGAAGATAATAAACTAAGACAAAACCAGAAAGCAATGACAGTGTGCACAGGCAGAAATAAAAATTTATAAAAGGGTATTGAAAACCAAGATATAAGCAGCGAAATAACCTGTTACAATAGCAGAGAATAAAAGCACTTTTAAAAGCAGCAGTGGCAGGTAATTTAAAATAGCAAAGTTTTAAAGCAACAATTTAAAGGTGAACAAAAAGAATTTGAGTGGGTGGCAAAAAATCATTAAATTTGATGCCAAGCAGGCTTCCCTGGGGAAGGCATTCCATAGATGAGGGACCACAGCTGTGAAACATCCATTAAAATAGTCCAGCATCTCTTTAAGGATAACTCATAACTGTGCTGAGTGCGCCGAGGAGCAATGAACCCATAGTATTCTGAAGAGAAAAAACTCTGATTTTAAAGATAGAATTGTAAGGATTTTGATGCACCAAAGAGTTGTGATCAGGACAAGAATCTGCCAGGTGCAACTATAGTACTTGACATTCTTTCCTAACTTTATTTAATCTGCAACAGCTAATGCTGAGGTGGCATGGTGGAACCTAAAAAGGTAAAGGTAAAGGGACCCCTGACCATTAGGTCCAGTCGTGGCCGACTCTGGGGTTGCGGCGCTCATCTAACTTTATTGGCTGAGGGAGCCGGCGTACAGCTTCCGGGTCATGTGGCCAGCATGACTAAGCCACTTCTGGCGAACCAGAGCAGTGCACAGAAACGCCGTTTACCTTCCCGCCGGAGGTGCTTTCGAACTGCTAGGTGGGCAGGAGCAAGGACCGAGCAACGGGAGCTCACCCCATTGGGGGATTCGAACCGCCGATCTTCTGATCGGCAAGTCCTAGGCTCTGTGGTTTGACCCACAGCGCCACCTGCGTCCCATGCGTCTCCCTACTGCCTGATAAATGAATTGCTGTTGCATACCAAGAATGAGAGGGCAAGGAGCAATGCAGAGCCAATTTCTCTCCACCCTGCCTTCATCTTCCTGGTCTGCAGCGGCGACTCAGCTGTTGGGAGATCAGGCAGGCACTCCCGCCCCACCATACTTCCTACTGCTATTTATGGACTCAGCTACATTTGTAAAGAAAAAGCATTTTATATGCATTATAACACCGTGACACCAGATGGCGCCGTGGAGTTCCATCTTTCGCCAACGGGATTTCCCACTCTGAGGTTTGAAATGTGCTTTCCTGAAACACTTTTCTGGATGTGTCTTGATTCAGCCTAAAT